AGAGGGAGATATAATCTACCTCGTAATAAAAAATATTAAAATAAAATAATAAAATAAAAAACTCGACTATAAATATATTAAACTATATAAAATTAAAAAGAAAATCTTAAAATATAATTATAAATTAGACTTATTACCTAAGGTTAAGCTCTACTTAATCTTTTATATTTTACTACTTAAATTAATATAAAATACTATCTAAATAAAAATAAGTAATAAGCCCAATATAGAAATTAATAGATTAAAAGAATATATTATAGAGGCTATCCTTAATATAAATAAAATTAATAATAAAATAATATATTTTATTAAATAAAAGGATTATCTCGACTTAGAAAATATATAAGAACCCCTAGAATACCTTATTAATATATAATACCTTCTAAAGAACTTCTATTAATAATGCTAAATATAGGCTTATTAAGACTAATAGTATTTTAATTAATTAAATTAATAGCCCTAAAAGAATATACCTCTATAATAATAAATAACTCCTTATAGAGCTCACCTAACTCCTCTAAGGCATATAGGCTACGCTTAAAGGCCTTATTACTATGCGCTTAAAATAACCTCTTCTATTTCTAGATATAAGTAAGCTTAGCTATTGCCTCCTCTAAGGTAGCCTTTACCTTAGCCTCCTTATCTTCTAGGCGCTTATGCTCCTAGATATTTTTCATAACTATAAAAAGTTAGCTAATAGCTATAAAGGAGTACTAATATATACCCACGGAAAGAAGCTATACCGGCTCTATCGCATATTACTTTCGCATTAATATAATTAGAATAATAATTAGAATAATTAAAGATTACCTTATAGGATAAGCCCTAATAGAAGTAATAAGTATAAGATATAATTTTAAAACTAAAAGCCTTAATATAAGTAAAGAGACCTTATGCTTTAAAAAGTTTTTATAAGGAAATATACTTAGAAACTCGGCCTAATATTATATTAATAAAAAGAGATTTTTTATAAATTAAAATTACTTATTAATAATACTTAATCGCTAAAACTAGTCTTAAGGATAAGATTAATAGAGGGGGAACCTTATATTATAGCTATAATATAAGCTAAGTAGGGAAATATAATAAAAATACTCTAACTAAGTAAGGGACTAAAGGGACTAAGTATCGCCTATATCGGTCTAAAGACTAAATATTAAAAATATTAGTCTTACCCTAGATTAAGCCTAGGGAATATTAATCTAAAGATTAACTATAAGTATATAAAATATACTCTTTATACTTTCTTATATAATAGCTACCTTAGCTATTAATATAACTTAATTATACTTAATACCCTTAAGTATATTACTAGATATAATATTATACTATCCTTTAAGGCTACATAATATAATCTAATACTAATATAAACCAATATAACCGGTTTATCCCTTAGGAAATATCCTCTCGTTATAAATAAGTAAAAGTTTATAGGTTTAATTAATTAAACCTATCTAATTAAATATATAATATATAAATATTAATATATATAAATATATAAATAATAATAAGTTTAATAATAAGTTTAATAATAGAAATTAATTATATTTATATTAAATAATTAAATAATTTAAAAAAAACTACAATAAAAATAAAAAATTTAATTTTTTATTTATAAACTTTATTAAATAAATACTTATAAAAGAAATAACTTAAGCTAAGAAATTAATTTTTTAAAAGCCTTTAAAAAAAAAGCTAAATATATTTCTTAATATAAGATTAAAATATTATTTAATAAATATAAATCTTATTAAGAGCTTAAAGCTTAAATTTATAATTAATTATATTACTTAAAGGCTTAAACTTTTTAAAAGAAATACAATAAATTTCAGAAATACTTATTAAATTTTTTTTAATAATAATAAAAACTTATAAGAGATATAATAAGTATTTATAAGCTATAATATTAGTTCTAATAGGTATAATATAGTTTTTTTTTATAATATAATAACTTAAGAAAATATTATTATTAATTATATTATTAACTTATTGTATTATTAAGAGATAACTCTTATTTACTTTAAGTCTTTTCTCTAAGATATTATTAAGAATTATAAAGTAATTTATATATTATATATTATAATTACTTTTATTTTAAAAGAAAAATATATAATTATATTTTATAAATTATTAGAGATAAATGCGAAAAATATAAATAAATTCCTTATAAAATTTATAGGCCTAGCAGGCTTTTTTAATAAAAAAGTTATTAAAGGGATATTACTTATATATAAGTTATTTAAGATTATTTAATAATATATATTTAAGCTTAAAGATAAAGCTAATATTTTAATTATATATTTCTAAGTAATAGAAATAATAATAAAAATCCCCCCCTTCTTTATAAATATAAGTTAAAATGTATTATTTATTATCCTTAATACACGTGCTGAATTTATAGTATCTTATTCCTTTAGTCTTGTATAAACCACTATCCTTCTATATGTCCTTTTATATTCGCGTTACACACGTTCCTGCGGAGTTGGCACGGAGCAGTGGTCTATAGCTAAAAAAAAAAAAAAAACCTATCTACGACAAGCCGAATCCAGTTTATCAAGGAGGTAGAGGTGATGTTGGAATTCGGGAATGCTAACACTGAACAGGGTGAGATTCCTTCTACCAACTAGTATTGTTTCTTCGATGTCCGAAGGGAGAATATTCCGAAATACAGGGCAGACGATCGCAATTCGGAGGATAATGAGATAGGTAAAAGTTCGTCAAGAAGTTAGTGTGTTGCCACAACCAGGATTTCTGTGCCACTTACGCCATACCAGTTGCGAATAAACAAGTCAAGCTGTTGGCTGTCCCAACGTTGAAAACAGAAAAGAACCCTTTACAGCCCTCTAGACACAGACCGCATTTCTCTAGGATAGTATCCCGGTCAGGATGTGCCTCAAAATGATCCATGTTGAGGAGTACGTAGTCAATGAAAGGTCTATAGATAATGTGCTGGGCGGCGCAATAACGACCCTGGAGACGTAAGACGTTCCATGGGTTGTTGCAAAAGGCACTGAGTTTTGTAAATGCCGAAGATTGCCACGGCGGGACAGGCATGGGCTGATTCATGATTGGCTGACTGACGAGGAGAAATTCAGGAACGTTCCGATAAATGGTGTCAAGGTAGGTCCAGAGTTCCTCAGAAACGCGCAAAAGCCATTGAACATACCCGATGCGGGTCATGCGGAAACGATCCTTACTGTCGTAGACCATGCTATGTACCCTGTTAAGGAGCCGGCGGATGGCAGCGTTAGTGCTGATCTGAAAGGCGACCAACTCTTCGCTGCTGTATCCGCAATGAGTTATGTGAGTGTCGGAGCCAGTTACTGGGAAAAGGGGACCTTGACTCGTCGTATCCGCGTGCGCGGGATAGGGGATACAATCTTCGTAACGGGCGATGCCAGAAGGAAGTGTGATGGAAACTTCAGACATGAAATCGCCTTCATATATAAAAGCCACCCAGTAGAGACGACGAAAGGCTTCGGGGCAGGTCTCGAGATCCTGAGGGTCAATCCAGGCTCTATTGGGACGAGCAAACAAGACCATCAGCAACAGCATCAGGAGGATGAGAAGCTTGAGAAGATGCCAAACCTTTTGATCAGGGTCACGCATTTGACTGATGTTGTATGTGACCAGTGAAACGAGTCAGACACCTGTCCAAGAGCGCCCATGTAGATACTGCAATTCCAAGCCGGTCAGATGTTAAGTTGTGGCCAAGTATAGCTGTTTGATCAACGGCTTACCTTGCTAGCATGGTACACTGCGCGGCCTCGATGGTGATCTGTGAAGAGACGTGGCCAAGCAGCAGTCTAGCTTTCCTCCACAAATGTTGATCTAAGGCGTGTGAAGGTGAGCGATTCGGTCGCAGAGACGAAGCGGCGGTGTGCTCCCTGAAGCCTGGAAGCTCCACGTTGGCACCGCCTCGCTTGGCAAATGAGCCCAGACAGAGGACCAGTAACAAGAGACAGTACTGGGCTGGTGGCAGGTCTGACTGCTGACATTCGCCCTCGTGATGCTCCGCCTCGACGATGCTCTCCAGGGACTTGATGACATGACTGAACGAGAGCAATGGGAAGAAAATATTGACCTCATCAAAGTAAGCGGAGACCAGGTCCAGGTACTCTGCGGGGTCACATAAGTCGGCAAGGGTGCAGTCCCTAAAAAGTCTCCATGAATCGACGGGCCGTTCGTCGCGCGGCTTTGACTCGGGGTCAAAAAAGATCTCCGTGGCGGAACTTGATCGACAGCCTCGGCCAGTGCCGGAAAAGAGCGATGGGCCTTCGCCTGCCTGGGCTGTGTCGAAGAGTTGCTGTACTATGGGCCAGTCGAGGACATGGTTAGCATTGGCAGTATGAGACAAGGGATATGCCATTTCGTCTAGAGGAACAGTGCTCGAGCTGACGGTATCAGATTGATCAGCTTCATTAGCCATGGCAGCTGCATTGTCTCTCTCGGGCCACTCGTTCTGTCCACTTGGGGGAGCTGGGACTGGTATCGGGAGCGATGTCCTCGCCCGTTGTTGAGAGGCTGACATGGGATCTTGGGTCTCGCCATGTGGCCAGGTGAATACGGGCGACGATAGCAAGCGATCCTCTAGGAGCTGGATGCGCTCTAGAAGAAGTCTTGTATTAGGCTCGATTCGTAGCTGTTGCGAGTCCTTGTACTCGCACTCAACGTTCTGCGACGTGCACAAGCTACACTTGGGCTTGGAGGCGTCGCATCGTGTCTTGCGGGCTCGGCAATTAGTGCAGGCCTGTAGGACCCGACGTCGGAGAGGAAGCTGGGATGCCTTGGAACCGCTAGGCAGAGGAGAAGGGGGGGACGTCGATTCCATGCTTGTCGGCTATTGCTACTACGCATGGATCGATGCCGTCTTCTGGATGCAGGTGATGGCTGCTGTGAAGGTTGATGTGTAACAGACATCAATGGGAGAAAAAGGACTGCAGTAGGTAACAAGGTTCACGATAGAAACGAAAAAAAAATTAGACTGGACCACAGGCCTAAACTTTTAATGAGGTCAAGAGAGAGATGATGGATGATAATGATGATAAAAGAGAGAGCGAGGCAGATGGGGAGATCAGGAAGAACGGGAAAGGCCCCATGAATCGTCTGGCCACTGAACTTAGGTAGCGAGGCGGGGCGAGCTAAATGTAAAAACCCCACTCCTACTAACTGCGGGACAATGTGGTACCTGCTGATGTACCCGGTCTGGAATGTTCCTTTGGTTGATCCCCAGAGGCGCAAAGGTGAAGGAGGTGATTCGTAGAAGCATGGACTATGCATTTATTGAAGAATTGGAAATAGGGGTAGGGGAGAAAGAGAGGAAGAGGGCAAAGGAAGACCACGTGGCCAGCCTTTAAAGTAGTGTGTACTCCATGTACTTGGAAGGTATTGTACCGATTTTAGTTCCGTCATCTGGCAAGGCGAAGAAGCCATTGTCGCCTGCAGTACCCGAGATAGTTCTATGTCTACTTTGCTAGCTATGTGGTACTCCAACAGGATAGACTTATATTCCTGACCAGAGGAAGCTCTCTGGTAACTTGAACCTTGATCGCAAGACTTCGTCTTTGGGGTTTGAGCTGCTGGCGATGATAACGTCGTAGCAACCATTCTCGGCCCTCCACTGACCATACTCCTCCGACCAGTATGAGACAGCGTACTTGTCGAGCCTGAGACACACTGTCTTGGTCTCACCTGCTGCAAGTTCGACCTTCTTAAACGCCTTGAGCTCCCTCACCGGACGCTGGACTGGGCTCTCGGGAGCACGAATGTAGAGCTGGACAACCTCAGCGCCGTCATACGAGCCGTCATTCTCCACGTTGACTGCGATAGTCGCCTCGTGTTCTGCCGATGGCTCGAATATGGGTGGAACTATGAGGCTCGAGTATGCGAAATTTGTGTATGAGAGGCCGTGACCGAAGTAGAAGAGGGGATCCCGATCGACTTTTTCGTAGAAACGGTGACCGATAAATACCCCCTCGCCATATAAAATATCATGGTCGGATTTCCCAAATGCCAAATAGGTCGGTGTATGCTTGATTGACCTGGGAAAAGTCACCGAGAGCCTGCCAGCGGGATTCACATCGCCAAATAGAATGTCGACTATCCCGTGCCCAGTCTCTTGGCCACCATACCAAGCATGGAGAAGTGTCTTGCACTGGGGCTCCCAAGGCATCTCGATGGGGCATCCTGCTTGAGTTACGACAATCTGCGCGAGAATGGAAAGAATCAGCGTGAGCATCGCTCTAATGGAACCAGAAACCGCCATGCGCGGTCCGGGATGATGTTCTTCTCAACTTACAGCGCTGGGGTTGGCATCGAGAACCGCCTGAACGAGCTTCACCCCCGCAGGTGGTAGTTCGAGATCTTTGCGGTCGCTTGCCTCACTTTCGTAGTCTGCCGAGAGGCCAGCCATGATGATAGGGACGTCAACCGACTGTGCAATCTTGATAGCCTTGGCGAGGCCTTGCTCCGGCGCTAGAATCTCGTAGCCACCCAGACGGCCTGCCAAGGTAAATGCCGTGCCAACGCCGCCAGAAACATCTTCATTTACCATCAGAACCTCGACGTCTACTGGTTTGCCCCTCTGCAAGTCCATCTCATAGAATCTCTCCATGGATAGCCTGTTGAAGCATGGCGTGTCCTCCGTTTTGGGAGGTTGATCAACCCATAAATCGATAGCGTCCTCATTGTCGAGCTTGACCTTACCCTTACCAGCCACGCTGAAACCAAAACGGAAGCGCGCTGAAGCGTCTGGTGTGAATGTTGCTCTTGCCCGAACATAGTACTTGTGCGGTAAATGCTTGTGCAGAGACTCTGGAACGTCGATCAAGTCCTTATCGGTAGCAGTCGAGTACACCACCTCTGCATTGGGGACTTGATCTGGGTCGTGGTCAAAGATATCGACCCACCAACCGTGGTTGCTGGTGCCTGGTTGGTTGAGATTCTTCAAGAAAGGGACAAACTTGAATGCTGAGAGAGATCAGTCCAGCTGGACTCTATATGATTCAACGCAAGCAGTGTTGTATGTAATGACTCACTGTATAGCCCAGGGGTAAAAGTAATGTTTTCCTCCCCGACTGCTTCAACCATGGCATCGTATGGGGTTATCGAGTAATATGGGTCCCCCTCAGCGCTGCCACCTCCGGAGAGAGCCGGAAGCTTGAAGTGGTCGCCGATCAGGCCATACGACTTGGCGTTTCTATTCTTAATGGGGAGTATATTCTCGTCGTTCTTGAGGAGAACGATGCTATCGGCGGCAAGCTTGCGAACAAGGGCGCGATTTTCGGGCGTATTCGCGGACGAGGGATCACCTTTCCAAGGCTCGGCCGCTACGGTGACCTTCTTGACAAAGTTCAACACGTTTCTAGCAGCTGCGTCAACTGCCATGCGGGAAACCTTCCGAGTCTTGATGGCAATCTCGAGCAGCTTTCCCCTAAACTGAGTAGGTCCAGGCATCTCGAGATCCATGCCAGCGTTGATAGATTCTGCTGTGCTGTATGTCCCCCACCAATCGCTCATTACGAGGCCGTCGAATCCCCATTCGTGGCGGAGAATTTGTCGTAAAAGCAGAGGGTCTTCGCTAGCGTGGATGCCATTGATCTTATTATAAGACGTCATGAACGACCAGGGGTTAGAATGGCGATAGGCTAGCTGGAAAGGTAGTAAATGGAGCTCCCGTAATGTTCGATCCGTCATTCTCACGTTATCCTCGATTGACATCGTCGATTGGTCATGTGCGGCGTAGTGCTTGATGCAAGCGGCAACGCCGCGTTCTTGGATGCCGTTGATATAGGCCGAAGCGATCATTCCGCTAAGAACAGGGTCTTCGCCAAACGCCTCGAAGCCACGCCCCATTAGGGGCGACCGCTGTAAACAGACTGTAGGTGCCAGCAATACATTGACGTTCTTGTACCGAGCCTCTTCTCCAAGCAGATTACCGATTCGATGCATCAAGTCGACGTCAAATGTGGCACCCATCGCAGTCGCAGAAGATAAAAGGACACTTGGGACCTGCGTTGTTTCCGCATCCTCGCGTCAGCTTAGTTACTTCCGTCATGTAGGACGAGACTCGCAAACCATGTGCTGAAGTGAAGGCAAGTAGAATTGAAAAGGTACTTACACGGGTGAATTTCCGCGCACCACGAAGACCATGCGGTCCGTCTGAGGTCTGGAGTGGGGAGTATCGAGGTTCAGCAGCTAATCGGCTGTGGACATGCTCGCCGTGGTCGGCTTGCTGCAGCCTTCCACGGTCGGGTCGGAACTCACAGTGATGCTTGGGATTCCATGAGCCTGAAGACTTGTGGTCTTGAAGGAGCCCTGACCGGTGAGAAGCTCGATCTTCTCCTCGAGCGTCAGCCGGCTGATAAGGACGTCAACATCAACGTCAGCCAAAGTGGGCTGGACGGTCATCTTGGCGTGACCTCGGGGTGTGAATTTGTGTAGCGTGGTCGGGGCCCCGGGATTTGAGGAGTGAGTGTCAACCTCGTAGCTACTCCAGAAGACAACGAGCTGGACAGACAAAAAATGCAGCGGTCGTACGATGAGCTGCAAAAAGACAAGCGAGGGGCAGATGTAGATACAGCAACAATGAGAGAATGCATAGCAGTTAAGTAAAAGGCGTAGTGGCTTTGGAGCAAAGGACTATCTCAACCTCATAGCCGATGCCAGATACCGCTCGCCGTCCTGGACATCGTTGCTCCGCCAGGATTACGGGGCGCTCCGCCCTAAGTGGGACGAAAGGCCACGACAAGGATGGCAGAGGCTGAGACTTCGGGGCAATGGTGTTGATCTTCCCCGAGCCTTCGACTCGAGCGGGTACGGTTGTGGGGCCCGGTTTCGTGGGGGGTTCACCGCCCATCTGAGGAGCATGGCAAAGAAATCCGTGAAAGCATGCCTAGCCACAATCGACACAATGACTCTAGCCATCAACCCGGGCTAGCCGGGTTGAGCCACTAAGGTAGCTAATACTACCGTTGGAATTCTCGACTCTAGCCATCAAAGTCATTCCCCATGGGGGACAATTTACCCCGCTGGGGGAGTTGCCACACCACCCCTCACATGCTTGGCTTTGTCGTGCCATCTTTGAGCCGAGCCAGAAGCGACGTACCCTCAATCGACTGTCACTACCAGACTTCTACGCCAACACTCAGCACAAAACATCTCTGTCGTCTACGAACGCTTCCCGTTCAGAAGCGGTTCCTATTCTCACGCCCCCTCTGTGTTGTTGTTCTTGACCCCATTCGGATATGCCATTCCCTGTTCATAGTCATCTTCGACCAACTGGCTTGGCTGGTAGGCGAAGTATATAAAGACCCTGCGAGAACCGTTGGTAACTCTGAGCATCTACTCAACATTCAGCATCATTTACTGCCAACCAGAATTCTGAAGGTTTTCTTTCTCCTATCTTTCTTGCCCTTCTCTTGACGCAAGTTCCTGACCAGCCTTCAACATGACTGCTTCTCTCAACAAGCTCCGTCAGCGCTTGCCAGCGCCTCGACAGGACCAGGAGATTCGCCGTGCTCGTGAGGAGCGTGGTTCAGTCGAATCTGAGCAAGCTACATACGAGCCCGAAGGAGTTGATTTGCTTGCCCGAGAGGCACCTCCGTGGTATCGTTGCCCTGCCCGCCGCCGTCTCTACCTGCTTCTATTTCCTGGCGCTGTCTGTTCCTATGCGACCAGCGGATATGATGGTTCCTTGCTCAATGCTTTGCAAACTGTGTCTTATTTTGACGAGTTCTTCAACTATCCCCGCGGCGCTAAGCTAGGACTGATGAGCGCCATCATGGCCCTCGGAAGCATCTGTTCTACACCTTTAGCACCTTGGGTTGCTGATCGATATGGTCGTCGCTGGGGCATTACAATTGGCAGTCTGATCATGATCGCTGGCTCTGTGATCCAAGCCGTCAGTGTTAATCTGGATATGTTCATTGCTAGCAGATTCCTTCTCGGTTTTGGTCTCTCATTTGCTACCACGTCTGCTCCTAGCCTGGTCACCGAGCTATCGCATCCCAAAGACCGCGTGACTATCACGGCTATTTGTAACACTTGGTATGTTTACATTTCCAATGCACATTATGGCTGTTCTGGCTCTTAGCCTGCTTCATGCTGAACTCAAGCTTCTAGCTGGTCAATAGGCAGTATCGCGGCCGCATGGATTACCTTTGGAACCAGAGAAATCAACAGTAACTGGTCCTGGCGCCTGCCATCCCTCTTTCAGATGGGTCCCAGCGTCGTTCAACTATGTGCTATCTGGTTTCTTCCAGAGTCCCCACGATGGCTGGTTTCGAAAGATCGCGATATTGAGGCTCTCCAAGCTCTCAAAAAGTATCACGGAAATGGCCAGGAGACTGAGCTAGTAAAGCTCGAGTATCAGGAAATTAGAGCCGCTATCGACCTTGAACGATGTAAGAATTCTCTACATTGCTACATGTCTTTTCAAGTTTATAACAACCCTGGCTCGCTGACTTGCTGTGTTTTCTCCAAGCTATCGGCGCCACCACGTGGAAGTCCATGGTTATCACACCTGGGAACCGCTACAGGATGTTCCTTGTACTTTGTATGGGCTTGATGAGCCAGTGGTCAGGAAATGGTCTGATCTCATACTGTACGTGAAAACACCTACATTCAGATGTACTAACACCACGGACTGTCACTAACAGGCGTTGAAACACGCCTTGTGCAGACCTTGCCCGAATCATGGATTCCGTAGGCATTACCAACAAAGATACCCAGGCTCTCGTCAATGGTCTGCTCAACGTCTACAACTTCACTCTTGCTTTTACTACAGCTTTCTTTGTCGAACGGCTTGGTCGTCGCATCCTTTTCCGAGTTTCGACACTCGGCATGTTAATTGTGTTTATTGCATGGACTATCGCATCGGCGAGATTCCACGAGACGGGAGCTAGCGCTGCAGGAATTGCAGTTATGGCCTTAATCTTCCTTTACGGCGCCTTTTATAATATTGGCATGTCTCCGCTTGCTGTTGCATACTCGGTTGAGGTCCTACCATACTCTATCCGAGCGAAAGGAATGGCGACTTATATTTTTTCAACAAAAGCTGCCGTGTTTGTCAATCAGTATGGTATGTAGCCCCCTCTGGGTCCGGTCCGTTACATCTAGTGCTGATCGTTACCTGCTTCGCGGTAGTAAATCCTATTGGCCTTGACAGTATTGGCTGGAAGTACTACCTCGTCTATGTCGTCATTCTTGCGGTTGAAAGCTTCATCGCCTACGGGTGGTTCATTGAGACCAAGGGTAAATCGCTTGAGGAGATTGCTGTTCTTTTCGATAAGGAACAGGCAGAACCGATTCGCGTAAGCAAGGTGGAGGGTGACAATGCTGTTGTGGCTATGGAGGAACACGTGGAAGCGGACAAGAGAGTCTAGGATGGCATCGAGATGGCGTCATCAGAGAAAGTCAATCGTTGGCAGAGCTTATGGACCTTTGTTGCTGGGTTTCGTTTTGGTACTGCCCTTGGTACTATACAAGAACGGGTGTTTGGATAAGAAGGGTCGTATGTGTTATATCCAGCTCTCAAGCATTTGAATCATAGCTTCTTGCAACCAACCTTCCTTGTATGCCGCTGGTTAGTAAACGAGCAGCAACTCAGAAGTTGTTTCTCTACTTGCAACGAGCATTTCACACTCCCTGTTAACCATCATCTCGCATTCATGAGCATTGCCTCCCCTGATGGCGCTCTTGTCACGAGTAACAACTATACCGTGGGGGCGAAAGTGAAAAATACCTTTCAACACGTACCGCCTACAGGTAGCTTATATGCCCTGCGACAGGCTCAACCATCAATGCCACGCTGGCGTCGACAGTCGGTCATGATAGCGTCGAGACCAAAAAGCTTCAGCAAGGGGCCCGCGACGGCCACAGCTCCAAGATCATTCTGCACCTAGACCAGGATAAATACCGAAGCTTGTGAGCCATAGCTCCCCGAAATGAGTTGATCCTCGTCGCGAAGCGCGTCGCCTTCCAAAGCTGTCGGCGGCTTTGGTGCCTCTGCTGAGCGGAGTTTGGGCTTCGTGCTCAAGGCGCGGACGGAATCTATCACGGCTATAATAGGATATAGGCGGGGAAGCCTAATAGAACGATTACTGAGGCAGGACTAAAGGAGAGAGCGCTTAGTCTTATACTTTACGACTAATAGGATTAAAGCTTAGTCCTTATAGTCTTACCTTAGATTAATTATTTAAGAATTTTATCTTAAAAAAAACTTTATGTATAAAGTATATTTATTATATATTCTTATATATTAATTATTTTAATTATTAATATAACTTAATTATATTTAATATCTTTAATTATATTATTAAATATAATTTATATTATTTATTTAAGATTATATAATATCTTTCTTTATTAATATAAATTAATATTATTAATTTATCTCTTAGAAACCTTATAAGTATTATAAAATCTAAGTATTTCTTTTATAATATATTAATAATAACTAAGTAGACTTAGAAGTATTAACCTAAAATACAAAATAAAGCTCCCCTTTAAGTATTAATAACTTAAAGCAAATTATTATAAGAATTCTTTATATTATCTTATAATAAAATTAATTAATTATTATTAGAAGTAATAATCTCTTTTAAGTTATTTTTTATTATTTATTTTTTTATTATTTATTATTAAATATCTTTAAAGTATTAAGTATAAGAATATCTTTAAAGCATATTTAATATTAATTTTTATATTAAAAGGCATTAAGTATAATAGTTTTATTATATAAATATTATATAAAATACCTATTAATAGTTTTAAATATAAAAAATAATAATTAAAAAAGCCTTATTTTAATAAAAATAAAAGTATTACTTACAGGAATAATATCTTAGTATATAGCCCTTATAGCATAGCTATGCTAACTAATAGAAATATATTATAGCTTAATACTAAAACTATATTTATTTAATAAAGTTACTTTAATTTACCCTCTAGGTATATTATAAGATTAAATTATTTTTTATTTTAATATTTCTAAATATTTTTAAGCTATTTCTTATAGCTCTTTAAAGCTAATTATTTCTTTAAATAAGTAATCCTTATTAATATTTAATACTTATAAAAATTATAAAGTAAATTTTTAATATTTAAGAGCTTATTAAAGCTAGTAATAATTACTTTTATAATAAATAAATATTTAAATAAGTCTACTAGATATAGCTTTTATATAGGCTTAAATAAGATATTATTAAATAAAAAAGATTTAAATTACTTAATTAATTTTAAATATATAATAAAAAGATACCTAAATATTAATTATTTAATATATATTTTCTATTATTAAAACTGCTATTAAAATTACTATTATTATTTATTTATATAAGCTTAGATATAAATATCTTATATTTAATTAAATAGGTTTAATAAATTAAATATATATTTTCTTTTATTATTAAGTCTAGCGCTATTATTTAGCGCTAAATCTTTAAATTTATAAAACTTTAATATTAACCTTTAAGATTTATAATATTAATTACTTTTATTACTTAATATTTCTCTTTTAATTTTATAGCTAATTTATAATTATATTTCCTTAATATACTTTATTATATATATTATAAGATATAAATAATATTTTAGGCAAGAATTAGTTTTATAAGCTATTTATTATATAATCAACTATTATAGCTTAATATAGTCCCTATTATATGCCTTAAAACTTCCCTATAAAATACCCTTTAATCCTAGCTAATTAAAGATAATCTTATACTTTAAGGATAAGTCTTATATTATAAGACTTATTCTTATATTATAATATTTTCTTAGTAATTATAAGATATTTATATATATATATAAATATTTATTATACTTTAGATAGATATTTAGCCCTTAAGT